ATGGCTACGTAGGGTGAACAATGATTTACCTAAATTCCATACCCGATGAAGTAGGTAGATCCCCTTTTTTGAGACAAAAAAAGGATGAGGCACCACCAATGGGCCGAATCTTTTAGCTACCTAGAAGCTAGATTGTCGAGACCTTTGACTAGACACTTTCAAGTGTACCACCACCTAAGGTAGCTGGGGAGCGGAACTGGCGACATGGTAATTAGGATACCTAGTTGTTCACCACAAGGAACATGGCGTTTCAATTACTCTGTATAGGTCAACATTGTTGGAACCACTCGATCATGCTTGTTTGGACGTTATCATGATGACATTAATATTATGTAGTTATACTACTTGCTATTTGGCTCGCTCAGTAAACGTTGTGCTCGCCATGGGAGCAGCTCTTAGCATGCTCGGCCTGCTCAGAAGCCAAAGCCCACTTTTGGAACTCGCGGCGGATGGCATCACGGCTACGGCGAGCAGGAGTGGTGGTAGCACGGCGAGGCAGACCAGCGGGGAGTTCGTTGGCGAAGTCAGCGGCAACACGGGCAGCGGCCTTGGCGTTGATGGTCAGAGCATCCCAGTTGATGTTGTCGAGGGTATCACAGGCCAAGTGGTAGCATGGGTCGGTGGGGGCGCCGGCACCGGTGAAGATACCGGAAGAGGGGATGCCGAGCTGGAGGAAGCCGACGTAGTCAGAACTGGAGCCGAAACCACCGAAGGCAGCGGGCTTGCCCTGAGCCGCGATGTAGTCGTGGATAGGCTGGGCGCCGAACTTGTCACCCTCGTTGTCGCCAAGGTAGACGTTGTAGACGGGGTTGATGGAGCCGATCATATCATAGTTCCAGTAGAAACGGATGGCATCGGCCTCGGCTTCGGAAAGCTGGGCAGTGTAGTAGAGAGATCCGACGAGGCCGGACTCCTCGGCACCCCACCAGATGAAGCGAACCTTGTTCTTGAAGCCGCTGTACTTCTTGAAGGATCCAGCAATCTCGAGAAGAGCAGTGGTACCGCTGCCGTCATCGTTGACACCGGGTCCGGCCTGGACAGAGTCCAGGTGAGCACCAAGAACAATCACGTTGTTAGGGTCACCCTCCTTGGTTTCAGAGATGATGTTCCAGGTCTCGCGCTCATCCCAGATGGCATCAACGAGAAGGTTGACCTCGAGGGTCTCGCCAGCAGCCAGACGCGCCTTCCAGGCGGTGGCATCCTCGAGGGGGATGAGACCTACGGGCACCAGCAGGCCCAGGTTCTCAGCGCTGAGGGTAGCAGAGCCAATGTCCTTGCCCGGGGTCTGGTTGTACAGAATAACACCAACGGCGCCCGCGGCCTTAGCGAGCTTGAGCTTATCCGCAATGGCGCAGACACCACGCTTCACGAGAGCAAGCTTGCCAGTGGCATCAATGCCAGCCCACTGATCAGCGAAGCAGCCAGAGCCTATGTGTGGTTGAGTCAGTTGTTTTCGTAATGCCCTAGTTGATAGATTTCTCCTACCTCTGGTGTCATCGACGGGAGTGTCAATGAGAGGGGCCGTATCACCGCCGGGGAGAGTTGTCGGGTGGTTGTATTGAAGAGCAACGACGTAGACATCTTCGCCGTCCGGGCCGGTAACGCTGATCTCACGCGTTTGGGAGAAGGTGTGGTTGAAGTATTGGACCTTGGTGTCGAGCTGCTTATAGAAGCGGCCCTGCACACGCTCGAGGATGTAGTCAGAGGAGGCCTTGTAACCAGGCAGACCGAAGGCTCGGTTGCCGCCGTTATCGCGGGCAATCTTGTTCAAGTTCCAGAGGTTGCGTTCGAGTCTGGCAATGTCACGTTAGACGCCTGCATAGACTCCAATTGAGGTACGGAGGACTCACTCCTCGGTCTTGATGTCAGCCTCTGCCTTGTCTGCTGTGAGGGGATCGGTTGCGAAAGATCGCAGCGCGAACAGCGCCGTGGCGAGGGCGGTGGCGGTCTTCATCGCGTTTGAAAGCTATTCTTAACCGCAAATTGAGGCGAGAGGTGATTTTCAATGGCTCGTGGAGAATCCTAACGAATGGACTGGTCGCTAAAGAAGACAGGATATTTTTGCCAGCGGCGCGGCGGGGGACATTTATATGCTCTGTGTCTACGCCTTCTCGGCGCGCCAAGCGCATGGATACGGCAAAAACAAAATTGCGCGATAAGACGACATGCAGTGACACCGCATCGTGGGCAGCGGAGGAGCTTGCGAGCTCGGGTTGTGCTGGCGCATAGTAGCAGAGCTACGCAAGGGGGAGACGTTTGCCGTGGTTACGGTTGGCTCGCCGCAGGAACCTAGGCGTGGCAGGGTGGGATAGCTTCGCAACATCGTAAAGATGCCCAGAGTGGCGGGACAAAATTCGGTTTGGATGAATCGCGTCCCAGGGTCTGGTAGGCCTGCTCCTTGGCCGGCAGGTTTACTGAGGCATTGATGCGTCGCGGGCGATGCTACCTCTGGCAGGTGAACGATGTCGGATGTTCTTGGCAAGTACTTTTGCTAGAATGAATTGCGAATGTTGGTCTAAGGTTAAAGTCCAATCCTCAACCGATGCCGATACTAGGACGCGGAGAGCAGGTCAATGACTGGGGGGCAACGCGGAGCAGGCGTAGAGCTTGAGAGAAGGACGGAAGAAGTGGAAATGCGACAAGCTCTGGGCTACCGGCGGATCTTCCCCCTCCAGACTCTGTGGATCATCGTTGCTCTATCGGGCAGGTGCCAAGCCTTACGAGAGGGGCTTTTGTCGAGAGTGGTTGAGAGAAACAAGTCTAATCGGACCTTGGGCCGTTGAATACCATACCTCTCAGTCTTCTTCTCTCCCAACGCCGCAAGAAAGTATCACGACAGCCACAAAGTTACTTTTGAAGCCTCGATGTCTGTCTTTTCGTCAAGCGCTCGAGGCTGATTTGGTCCTTCGTGACTCGTCTAGTCCCCGGCTTTCAAAGGACGTATAAAGGTGAGTCTTGCACGGATCACATCGACAATCATCCGCGAATTGCCGCTTGTAAGCCTCTCGCATGTGTGCCTGCATGCTGCAGCTACAGCGGTGCACTGCAAGCGAGGCCAATTGAACCCGGCCAGCTAGATTGAGAACATCGCGCGCATCTGCACGGATAGGTTGGGTGCTTACCCAGCTCCAAACTCGTGCATTCTTGAGGTGGCAGGTCAGTGATTTTCACTGAAGCAGCCTCGAGAATCGAAACAACTGATGAGATGTAAGTTCAGCTACCCAATTTCTTCCCATTGGCGCAGGTGAATAGTTTCTCGAACAAATGCAATCTACCAGTGCACCACAAACTTCTCGCCTTCTGTCTAGAATGAGAGTGACCCTAGTAATGAGGCGCTGGGCCAAGATGACGGGAAAGGCATGTGCTTATGGTTGGAAGCCGGCTCAGAGACTTGGCAACGAACAATGCAATCAATTGTCTTGGCGAAGCGGGGAGTTGCTGATTGATGCGATAACATCCATGGCCGGGCGTGCTCTGCCGTGCTGCTTAATTGCTTGAGTCTTGACTGCCATGTTCCCTGTAAGGTTTCTCTTCGGAGATGGCGATCGGCCCCACGACAGGCTAGGTAATCAAATAGCGTCACGCGTGAGTGGGATGCCGGCCCGGCAACCTTCGTTGGTCAAAACTCTGTAAATGGCGACATGAGTATTCATAGTTGAGGCTCGAAATAACAATCATGCTTAGTTCTATATTCTCTCCTTCAAGACCTGATGTGACGAAATCAGAAAGGAAAGAGTCCTGATTCATATCCATCGATGTAGGGAAGTTAATTAAGTAGGGGATCTCACTGTACTCAGGATTCTGAATCACCAAAGTATCAGCAGTCTCATTTATTGGAAAGCTACATTACTCAATCTGCTCTCAGCTGACTTGGAGCCTTACGCAACGCCACTCGTCCCGTACTTCCGTGACCTAAAGAGAACGATTGCGCAGGTTCAAGTCAAAATAAGCTTTATGAAGGCTATAAACGATTCTGCGATGACTTGCATTTGCTAGTGCCCAAGATCTCGGGTCGTGTTGGCTTAGGATTCGAGAACCTTGATGGTCGCGCCCTGAGGACTATCAAACCGGGTCCATTATGCCGTTCCTGTCCTCCTGAGGTACTGTCCGAGGTCGCAGTGGAGTGCAAGCCGATTCTCGATCACTCAGTCCTCGGGTAGATAAGTCTAGCGACCTTGACGGTGACCCATCCTTTGAGGCGCATATGGAATGTAACCCTCGTGCCTCTATGCCCGCTACATACGCAGGGGATCCTCGGGAGTGGGGAGACACTGTCAGGATTATTGATTCAAAAAGAAAGAAGACAGGCTCTGGACAAGTATGGTCACTGCTGGCAGTTGCAATTGGAGCCTGGAAGTCGGTAGTTCACAATTCTAGGACTTAGGGTATCGGTAGGTAAGGTATGATACTAACGAGATGCGCATATCCCACATGTCTCTATAAATATCCACGACACTAGGAAATCTACGCCTGATGTATACAGTCGAATCGGCGAGCTCGTTCCCCTTCAACATCGCCTATGTGCAATCTAGCCCGTGTGCCTCGCATCATTCCTCGCTACCATGTGCCACTCTTCTTCAACGATGCCGCTGCTTGCAGATGCTGCTACACTAGAAAGAGTATTGGCACTCCCCTGAGCTCCCACTTTACTCTCCAGAATCTTCTTTATCTCCGCATGTGCCACACCGGCACTTTGGAGCGTGGAAGGTGGAACCTTCCGATCAGCACCATGAGCTATCAACATTCGAACAATGTCGACCTTCTTCTTGATAAAAGCAGCTTGGTTCCCCGGAGTTCCTCCGTTTCTGACGTTAGGCTTTGCTTGGATTGCAGCCATGAGTGGCGTACACTTGATCGGACCACAGATCTCGGTATCTGCCTTGAAGGATTGGAGAAGAACCGATACAACATCCCTGTTTCCCTTTTCGCATGCATGATAAAGCGCCGTCTTACCATATAAATCTCGAGAGTTGAAATCTATCGACGAAAGAGATGTATCACTAGCTCTGCTTTGAACAGGTGATATGTCCAGGCGTGCCGTTGAAGCACGCCGAAGTCTGCTGGCTTCCGCGGCGATGCTGGGTCTCCGAGAAGACGTCGCGGTAAAGATTTCCTCGGCCACTTCTTCTGTCTGGCATTTGTGAAGAATGCTACGTCCGTGCTTGTCTTTGAAATCAGCACATGCACCATTTTCCAGTAAAATACGCACAGCCGTTACGTGGCCAGCTGTCACCGCCGCCATCAGGGGTGTTTCTCCGTTGCTGTCGGTGACTTCGAGGTTCTGGTAGTATTGAATAACTTGCTCGAGAACCCCGACTTCCATATCGTCGTCTGCGACGGCGGCGAATAAAAGTGGTCGCTGTTGTGAATCACAGACATCAAATTTGGGTAAGTTCATGTCATCCAACGCCGCTTCGTGGAAACCTTTCTTGTGAGCCCAAGACAAGGCTGTGTCAAACTCGTTGTGAGGCGTGTCTTCGACGGGTCCAATTTCCTCTTCGACCCAGTCCTTGGTAGCCAGAAATTCGGCGTGACTACCACGGAGGCCTTGCACATGGCGCAGAAGTTCGTACGTCTCTATAATTCTCTCCCTGTCCCTAGGATCTTCCCGTAGTCGAAGCTCCATGGCAGTCTGAAGATGCCGGCAAGCCCCGAGTAGGTATTGGCCATCAAAGAGAAGCTTCCCGAGTTTATGATGTAGTCTGGATGATCGGGCTAGATCGATTGGTTGTTGCATGTCGCATTGATGATTCAAGGCCTCCAGAATCTCTCTTGCCTTTGCGGTTCCTACTTCAGTCTCACACATAATATTGAGATCTGCGAGTTGCTCGTCCATATCCTGCTGTTCTGGTTCACTGAAGTCCTTTCTCCCTGCCTCTGCCAGCAGCTTTCGTATGCTCACCGCATCTTGGAGATGTTGAGTGGCATTTTCGAATAATTCGCCAACCCGCAGTAGCGCTACAATTTCGACGGTTCTCTTGTATTTGTAGAGTTGTAGTTGAGGATTGAAAGGGGGATCCTCCTCATGAGGCTCTGAGCGCTCACTAGAGATGGATCCTCTAGGGATGCTGCTATGGACTCGGGGTCTGGATATCCTCAAGTTCTGGTTTCCTTCGAGGAGAACCTCTTCCGCTAAAGTGACAGCTGACCTACTCCATTGTTGAATCGTCCTTGCGAATATAGGATTATTGACTTCTTGGCCCCCGATGGCTACATGACTAGGGCCAGGTAGCGAAGGAATGCACTGAGATACTTCGACTTCGACACGGAGTCTGCGCGCAACATATTGCACCCTCCCTATTATCTCGGTATGCGGTTGCTTCGCTTCTAATGTTTGTGCACTACATGGAAAGAGATGTTAGTCATAGCCCTTAATCATTAGTGGCATTCTTCCTCACAGTGACAGGGTAGAAAGACTGAGGTTCAACACGGAAGTGTAGTGACTTATTTCTTCCGACGCTTGCTGAACATCATCTCGACTAAATGCCAAGTCCCATGCCATCCGTAGGTTGCGAGAAAAGCCTGATGGTTTGCTTTCAATCTTGTTCAGTCGATCGGCGAGAGTTTCGAGTGAGGTCCGACAGTTTTCTATGATGTTTCTGATGCATGTGAAATGCTCGTCTTCCGATTTCAAGAGGTGGGCTTTCATCCGCTCTTTGCACGCATTTCCAAGCAGCGTCAGACAGCTGGAAAGGGCCTCGATTCTTGTTTGAAGTCGCGAAACGTTGCTTTGCGAATCTTTGATCGATTTGATGATCTCATGTATCTTCAAGGCAGCCTTGCAGGTTGGGTGGATAAGTCCGATCACTGCTGCTGCTGCCTCCATGGTGAATGAATGTTGATACGATGGGTTCTCTTTCGTGGCACTATCGACTCTAGTAGGGCTCGCACTCAGAGCTGGAAAGTATGGAGGTTCCGAGGGAGAGGGTGATTATGTTCATCCCACTCATGTATGCATCAAATGCTATCACGTCACAGTCCTCGCTTATTGGCCACTTCGAAGCCATCACACGACAGCGTACCTAACAGACGGGGCGCGCCAACTTTACAAGCCACGTTCTGCCAGGCTCCAAGTTTTGTCACTTCTATTTAAACATCAAATTACAGAAACTGCAACCCTAGTATGCCTGAACTTCGGGCCAACTGTTCGACCATTTCCGTCCGAACCGGTTCACTGTGGCAAACTACCTCGCCCAACCTTCCCCACGCTATCCACATTGGAGGACCCAGGCACCCGTACCCAAGATCAGGGCGGGCACATGGTCCATTCGGATCGATAGGGTTACTTCAGGCTGTCATGGAGGTGGCGCAAGCCTGGGCATGTGCTCGTACGCGTCACTAGTGGTTCCACGGTCTAGGTTCTCGATGGATGATAAGGCTTTGGCTCTCCCTCCATGCCATGGTTTGTTTCTACATGTCTTTGCACTTTTCACACCGATGTGCCTACGTTTTAGCTAAGAATTACAAATTGCTCTCGCCGCTTACCGCACAAGACGTACTCACAGGCTGACTGACATCTGGATGGCCCAATGGCACGAGTGATCCAACGCAATGGTGCGCAAAACTAAACCCCTGGTTTCGGGGCAACTTGTGGGGGGCGGGATCTCCCCGCGTTTGCCTCCTTACTCACCATATCTTACATCACTGGGGTGGATTTCCCACACCTCGGACTCACGTACATCAGGTCCAGATATTTCGCAAAGTGCGAATTCCTTCTGAGTATCATTGCCCTGCAAGCCAAATGCACATTTTTACGAGCTGCACCCCTCGTCTCTGACAGACCTTCGTGTCGTGTTATCTATCTGATTGAACGATGAATTGTGACTGCTGGTCAAGGGTAGCTGAAAATGGCTTGGCATGAGAGTAAGCCATTTTGCCTACCCAGAATGCCTCATGGTTGCCTTTTCTTGGCTTCTGCATTTGCATGCCAGCTGCCATCCCGTGTGACTCCTCGACAGCCTCACTGTCTCCCTAGATGTCATGACAAATCAAGTATGCCTCAGCCTTCTCTATGAACTCGCGCAAATAAGGCTAAAAGCAGAATAAAAACCGATGGTAACTCACCTTGAACAAGCTACCTGATACCATTAGACGAGTGCCCTGTTTCCTTAGGAATTGAGTTCGTTAGTACAAGCTTAACCACCGCTTCTATCTCCATCTGGGCATGCTTACCTCGTCAAAATGACCGAACCAATGGCAAGTTCCACATCCATCGCCGACAAGTTTCGGGCGCAAGTTTCTCGCAGACATATCAATACGGAAGCTATCATTGAAGCCCCATTAGGTAAGCGCACCAGCTTTGTGGCTCTTGAGACATATGGCGCTGAATGTGAGATCTCACTATCTAACATTTCCACAGTTCATCTTGACGATGATGAGCTTGAGGAGGATGTGCGACGATTCGCCGAGAAATTGCCCGGTGTTCCTTTCCAACATATTCTGAGAGCAGCTCAAGTGTCAAAGGAGATCCGGGCATATACGGACGAGGGCCTGCAAGATTCTCTACCCATCACGTTGGAACCAGAAGAACGAGCAGCACTTAAGGCAGAGAGAGAAAAGGCATTCTCTCAGAGTGGCATGACCGTCATTGTAGTCACTGTAGCTCTTGCAGCTCTACTACAAGGCCATGTTCAAGCTTCGATCAATGCCGCCAGTATCTACGCCAGAATTCTTCAGGTCAGAGTCTCCGGCACAGCAGATAGGAATAATCCAGCGTGGCAGCTTGGCGCAATGAATTCGGCACCATTCTTAGCTGCTGCCCTCGTAGGTGCACCGATGTCACTTCCGCTCAACTACTGGATGGGCAGACGAGGTGCCATCGCTGTTGCTGCCGCTCTAATCTTCGTCAGCTCTTTGGCTTCTGGATTTGTGCACACATGGCAGCAGCTTCTTGGTGTGAGGATCCTCAACGGCCTTGGTGAGTCAAAGAGTCATATTCAGTGCTTCCCGAGCAACTCCTATCGCCACAAGGCCTTGAGACCCGAATGATACAATGTATTGACAAATTTCAAGGGATGGGCATAAAAGCCGTCAGCACGCCTATCCTGGCATCTGAGACTGCGATTGATCAATGGAGGGGCTCTTCTATTCTAATGTGGCAGCTATGGTACGCTCCCTGGGTATATTAACCTTTGTGTTGGGAGAACGTGAAGTACTAATGATACTACACACTGTAGGGTTGCCTTCGGTATCATGATAGGAAACGCCATCAATCTTATCCTCGCTGGTGCAGTTGGGGCTCTAGATTTTCCACTTGAACCAAAGGACAGTACTGCCTCTCTGGATGCCAAAGGCGACTTGGCGCTTCGATTAATCCTAGCTGCTCCCATGGTCCCGGCCATTTTTACGCTCGTTGCACTGGCATATTGCATGGAGAGCCCACGATTCTATATGCAGAAGAACACACCAAACTATCGACCGATGCGCGCCTATGAGATCCTATCTAAAGTCCGGAACACAGAGGTTGGTTCCTGTTTGTCATGGCACTTCTCCACTATAATTCACTAAATCAAAATAAAATAGCTCCAAGCTCTTCGAGACATTTACCTCATCCATAAGAACGTTGAATACGAAGAGGCACAGGATCTACCAGAGACGCCTGATGAACCAAGCGTATCTATGAAGAACCAAAAACAAGGCCTAACATTTGCGAAACACATGTCGTTCGCGTTGTCAGATGCCTACCGGCAATACAGCCACCTCCTGACTACTTCACGTTTGCGGAATGCAGTCTGGAGCACGTGCATAGTGGCTCTCGCACAGCAGCTTTGCGGAAGTAAGAATCTGTGTCCGTCGGTTAGTGTACCAGTGTTGAACTAACTAATTTTATTCACAGTCAATGTTTTTGCCTTCTACTCAAGTATGGCCAGTAATCTGCCGCCTGGGGACTTTCACGGCTAATGCTTACCACGCCGATAGACAACTTCTTCATCAAAGGAGACCCGAGCCCTCGCAACGCTATGCTTTACAGCTTGGGCTTTGGTAAGTCTGGGTTCAAGCTCTCTCCGTGACCGGAAAATGCTAGTAAAACACTTATCTGACATGATAAACAGGTGCCATCAATTTCCTGTTCGGCCTTCTCGCAATCAGGTGAGCTTCTCAGTTTTTGCCATCCTTTTGAACAAGCCCCTTCTAACAAGCTATCAGATCGATTGATGTCTTCGGGAGACGCCGGTGGCTCCTCGTCACACTCCCATTAATGTGCATGCTTCTGGCTGCAGCGGCCATGTCATTCCTTATTCCCAAGGGACCGGTTCAAATTGGAATCGTTGCGTTATTCATCTTTTGTGAGACTCAAAGGTGGACATAATCGTTTAGTTGGATAACTAACGCTGTGTCAGTGTTTGCAGCTGTGTATTCACCAGGACTTGGTCAGTGACGCGCGTAGTGGATAAGGGACTTAAGCATATGCTGACTTCGTAACTACAGGGCCCATCCCCTTCACACTTGCTTCCGAAAGGTAACTATCTTATTGAATATTCAGATATAAGTCAGATCACTGAATCAATGATTATTGACACCTTACTTATGTAGCTTCCCCCTCTCTCAGCGCGAAGCTGTAAGTTATAGCTAAATTCACCTCCTCATAGCCCTGCACGAGACTCATGCGATATTTCAGGGTTGTTCTGCCGCCATTTCCGTCAATCTTTTCTTTGCGGGCATACTCACGATCGTTTTTCCAGCTGTCAATGACGCACTGAAGCTGTATGGTACTCTGGCGCTGTTCGCTGGCCTCAATCTTGTGGCATTTGCTCTGGTCTTTTTGCTCGTCGAGGAAACCAAACAGGTAAGCCTTGAAGAGCTGAGCCTCATCTATGCGGTTCCAAAGAAGAATTTCGTACGTTTCCAGCTCAGAGAGCATTTGCCATACCTGATCAAGAGATACCTGATGCGTACTTGGAACGGCGGTGACCCGCCCAACTTCTACACCAAGGTAATCGATGGTTCTTATTCTCACGAAATGGGGCCAATGAGGCGGGATGAGCCGACGGACGAATGATGCGACCGGAACAGAGAGGAGGCTTCTTTTAGCTTACTTATTGTTACATGTGTTGTCAACATCTTGGTCCAAGATGACTATCAACCTTCTCTTCCACAAGACTGTGAAGCTTTGTGTGGGTACAAGATGGCATCTGGAGTGGTGCTTAACTTACCTACGTAGATGGGATGTGCGACTCTTGCAAAGTGACAGGTTTGGGTATGTAGATAGCTGAGACATAAGGCCTCTGCGTGGAGGCGTCGATCACGACGTCAATGACAAAGGCAAATATCGCTGAATACTTTATTTGATGACTTGACCATTAGCCCACCAAGCGTACGTGACCGTATCTCTCAGAGAACTGGGCCGATCACTTCAAGCTCATGAAAGTGTGTTTGTAAGGCCCCCAGTATCGCCAGCTATAGCAAGACTACACGTATACGTCGCTTACGATACAATGGTTTATTATCTCAAATGCAGAAGAACACGTCTTTGTCGAGCCTCCACACGTCAGTGATCATAACGGCTGCAAACAGTGGCATCAGCGCCAATCGTACCCGCGGTGCGTCTTATCCGGCCGCGTCACAGTACCGGGTCGTATCTGCTACCTCGGCCTGTCAAACTTCACGATTCTCCGTTGACGCCACGCGTGCTTCGCATTAACGTCAGTGCTTTAGGTTCGGACTTCGAACTACCAGAGATGTACTTTCGCATCCCGAGTGGGAGACAAGATGCTGAAACAATTCTTCGGGGGTTTGAACAACACAGACATTTTTCAGGCTGCCTGAAAGATTCAGCTCCTTTGACCTTCCTGAACCCTCGCGGGAACCATCTGAAATCGGCAATCTGAGATCGTGCCGCGATGCTTTCGGCCTTCAAAGGCACCCTTAGCTGACATACTCTCAGATGGCGGCGTCCCGATGGCTGGCTGATCGGTCAAATGCCCAGCAGAGATTTGGGCTGTGATGTTTTGTTGAATAAAAAAGACACTTATGATAAACGTTGATAATACTGTGACAGGTCTCATGTCTGTGCGGGGGTGAGTTCGAGATCAACAAAAGCGGACAACCCGAGAGGCTGGGGCTGAAGCGAGGGTAACATCCGGAAAGCTTAAGAAATGGGGACAAGGCGTTGTTAGCTCGATGTCGAGATAGGTGGTGTAAGTACATGGGGTGAATGAATGTGGAAGAAAGGCCAGACGGGACCTCATTTACTCCAATGACCAACCGTCGCAAATTTGAGCTTCTTGTTATTGCTTTCTAACGGTGTTTTTCTGGGGGAGGAATGCAGGGAATCGCGAACGTAACACCGTTAGATTAGGAAATTCCGACTCTCTTACGAATCACTCTTTTGGGAATCGAGGCCTTGCGTAGTCGGATTGCCACAACACCACACGCCCCGAACTGGTGTTCCTCGAAGATGGACTAGCCCCGTTGGTGGAAGACAAAATTGCCAGCTGAGAGAGTGTCTCAGACGCCATGTTCGCATTCCCATCCCAGCTGACTCCACACCTTAGCTTCCGTGATGATGTCGACGAGAACAGGGTAAGCCCCTGTGACGGCGCTAAGCCCACGAGGATGAGATTCACCCGGTGCGCACGCTTTTGAGAGCTGGATGCCTCTAGATCAGACCGCACGGGAGCGATGCGCGAGGCTGCGGACTGCCACGGAGAGGTTTCACCTTCACGAACTACACTCCTGCGCACTCCGTCCAATGACAAGGGGAAGTGACAGGTGTCAAAATGTCCACAATGTCTCAACGTTTCGTCCCGTTTGGGAGCTGTCAGGCCAGCCATGAAGGTTATCAGAAACCTTGAGACTGTATGCGGCATAATATCTGACTTTGCTTTTCAAGGGTTGAAATGCAACCATAATCCGGGTGTACACACGAAGAAAATTGTAACTAGCTAGGAGCTTGCGACCTGCAATATCAGATCGTCGTCGATTATTTCCTTGACCTCATCATGAATGAGCGTCCCGTCTACTCAAACTACGTCGAGGGTGACGTCCTCACCTCATAGTACGCAGCCTAATGCCCATCAATGACCATGACTGATGCCGCAACCGAGACAAGTTCCTCCTGGATGCTCTCTGTGGCTGGGGAAGACTAACAGCCATGTGCGGGTGTGTGTACGCTAATTGCCGTTAGGTCCATCGACCTCGTTCCGGATAGGAGTCCAGGCCTCGTAGCTTGGCATACTCACCCAGCGCCATGGGTCGCGTGGCGTCACCGGCGACGACCAGGTCTTGGAGACATAACCGCTTTAGGCTGGACTTTCCTGTCGCGACCCCCATGCGACGAATGCGGATTTGAGTGTCTGCGTAGCAAATGGGGCACGCTTCCAAGAGCGATGTATCAGTTGCACACCCTCTTGTAAGGAGGGAAGCCTCCGAGAATCGAGAACTTATAAAGGATGTCACAGAAAAGATCGACATTCATCTCTCGTTATAAGGACACGAGTGTCTTAAAGAAACAGATTCTTCACCTTGAGCTTGGAAGCTTGCAATCACAAATTTCGCTATCGAAAACCATTTCCCCTGGCTTACACATCATCTTCTCACAATGGCGAACACAAATGTCGGTCGTCAGCTTTCAGGCGATAGCTCAAATGCTGCTGGTACGTTACCCATGCTCAACATTGCCAACACTACGAGGAACAACATTGTAGCTGTGCTCGGGGAGTTTGTTGGAACGTTCCTCTTCCTCTTCTTCTCATTCGCCGGCACGCAAGTTGCCAATACGCCTCTTGGAGCCCCAGGGTCTGACCCTAACCTCCCATCCATTATCTTCATCGCGCTTTCATTCGGAGTATCCCTTACAGCGAATGTGTGGGCATTCTACCGAGTCACGGGCGGGATGTTCAACCCTGTGGTAAGCGTTGAGCTGTCCCAGCTTGCCTTGTTTGTGTTACTTACACGAGATCTTCACAGGTGACCCTCGCCCTCACCATTTGTGGTGGTCTGCCGCCACTAAGGGCTCTTCTCATCATGCCCACTCAAATCATAGCCGGACTATGTGCAGCCGGTGTTGCTTCTGCAATGTTTCCTGGTCCCCTATCCGTGACCACAGGACTTGGTGGTGGCGCAAACACGGCCCAGGGCTTCTTCATCGAGGTCATCTTGACCGCTCAGCTGGTGTTTGTCATTCTGATGCTGGCCGTTGAGAAGCACCGCTCTACATTCCTTGCCCCCGTGGGCATTGGTCTGTCATTCTTCCTCGCCGAACTTACTGGTAAGCACGACATATCCTGTCTTTGGCCTAAGCATGGTAAATGGTAGTACTAACATCGCGTCCCTCAGGCGTCTACTTCACTGGTGGTTCGCTCAACCCAGCTCGATCCTTTGGACCCGCTGCTGTCAACGGGGTATTTCCCAGCTATCACTGGATATACTGGCTTGGTCCAGTCGCTGGCTCCCTAGTTGCTTGTGGATTCTACCTTTTGTTGCGCAACCTCCGATACTATGAGTGCAACCCCGGCCAGGACGATGATGGCCACGAAACGAGAAGTGAGCGCAGTTTCAAACCTTGAGATAAGAAAGAAGACTTCCAGCAAAGAAAAATACGTGCTACAGACCTCCGCATCTGCTAGAAGTGGCTGATATCAAATCGAAAACAGGCGCGAAAGGTGTTAGGCGTTAGTCGTTCTCTAATGTTATTGAGGGGAATTTAGTTTTTAATGGAAGAAAAGGTGTTTCCACAGCATTGAAGTTTCAAAAAACCCAAGCCTCAAGTCTTGTGGTGAGAATATGGATATCTGAGCTTCTCTTAATGTTTTCAGTCCAGTGGAAATGACCGGATTCGGAATGGCAATGATGCCACAAACTCGTAGGAACTCGCTGAGTGTTTCCCCGCATACGTTTATGCTGAAGAAATGCCTTCAGTGGATTAGATTTATACTTCCCAAAGTCATGATACTCTGAACCATCGAAAAAAAGGTGTGCACTTAGGGGAACTGCGCTTCAGAACAGATAACACATCTGGGTACCGAACTTTAAGCTATTGCATACACGCTGCTGCGGTGGCTCAATTGCAAGATACATGCTGTCTTCATCGACAAAAGTCTATCAGGAGAGTGTCACCATCAACAGCTCGAGGTTCTGGTCACGAGTAGCCTACAATATCCTAGTGTATCGAGATGAGAACTCTGCTTAGAATTAACAAAAGGGAGAAGTCGAGGAACGGACCCTTCTCCAGGACCCGAAGCAGCAAGACGTGCGCCTCGGAAAGCCTACTGCAAATTAAAGCTGTCGCCTGGAAAGCGATCCTGAAGCCACATCACCAGCCACTATTCAAATGCCTCAACTATGCCCAATTTGTGGCGTAATTCGGTCCCGAACCAATCGTCCATCGATGACCATGGCAAGGCTCATTTCTGTGGCGAATATCAGCATTGAAGTGGATTAAATCAGAATCACTCGATGAAAGACGACTGGTCTTGTCGATCTCAACAGTTTTCAGAAGCTCTATGTCATGCAGCAACATGAGTGCAGCCACTCACGAACCTAGACAGGTGTCAAACCACAACTCAGGGTCCTGTTCCAGAAGGAATTGGCGGAGTCGGACGGCGATCGGGGAAATCGATGTCAGATTCCGTGGCGCAGATTGGAGGACGACCCTGCAGGATGCCGATCAGATAGGGTTGGCATACCAGGGTCAACGGGATGGTGTCTTGAAGCACAGGGGTCAGCCGAATCCTTCGCCCCGATGCTGCTGTCAACAAGGCTTACTGTCAGTGGTATCCCGAATCGAGGAAATTACTCTCGACTTTCACTGCAAAAATCCTTTCTTTGCTTGGCTTTTGGTAGCTTGCTTTACTTTTGTCGTCTCCTTCTGACAGCCCCATTGGATGGTCAACGTTCTGACTCTGATTCGGTCGGTCAAGTCCGCAGAGCTGGGGTCTTGTGGCACCTGACTTCTAAGCCATCTCACGAGCCAGATGCACTGCATTCTGAACATGCGACGGTCTTACCAAAGCATACATGGCTGCATCACTTAGATTACGCTTAACCATACCGGTATCGTGGACTGTCGAAGCGGTGCAGTGGCGAAAGATGGCCAAGCCCGATCCTCTCGTACGCTGTTAGAATGAAAGACTGAGAGAGAGGCGATAGTCGTTTACCTGCCATTGACATTCAACGTCGTTTGCACTGCTCAACCTTGAGCTAGTTGTCTAGACCACACGATCATGTGCCATTATGGGTCTCGACTGCATCACATTTGGTGGTCCATGCTTTAGGCACCGAAGCTGAGGTCTTCAACTACCAGTCGGGCGTCCTCTCATTTCTAGGAATGGATGCTTGTAGCCATTTGACCTGAAAGCTATGCTGAGGGCATCCATCACAGATTCCACGCCGCCTCTGCCGCAACCCTTCCGACACACCATTGGTTGTTTAAAGAGATGCAGCCCCTGGTCCAAAGCCGTCAGCTACTTTCAAGGGCACCTCGGTCTTCGCCAAAGAACTTCACTGCACCCAAGATGAAGACGACAGCCCTCGGGCGTATACGGAGGCTCATGACCAAGCGCTAATATTCACTTTAAGTCCAGCTTTGAGGCCACCGTTTGAGCCGCATAATAATCGTGCACTTGAAGCCAGGCTCACATCAGCCAGGCACCTATATCTCAAACTATTTAATGTCGAATCAAACAGCCCATTGATTTCCAACGTCTCTCGATCCGTACTACATAAACACCACATAACTATATATACCAGTGTTAGGGAACATCTTCGTAAGTCCCCGCAAAGCATACGCAGGAACTCAAGCTAGTACAGCCCGCTCTCAAGTATTCTAGCCAACTTCGTTAGCCTTTAGATCCATCCAAAAACCGATCTCAAGCTCAGATAAAGATTCTTGCTGGCTGCCACACTGGCTGATAGAGTTGGTTCTTTCGGGGCCAATTCACGATATGGCTTTCCCCGCGGGACTACCACTCCGAAAATTAGACCACAACTTCAACAATGGCGAAGGCAGTGTCTTATCTTTTGATCAAATGCGGAGCCTGACCATGGCAAATCCTCTCTGGCGAGAGTTCATCGATGATCGTTTAGCCCTTGAGCGTCGTTATGGGAAGCTTCTGCACTTGTACGAAGAAAAGTTTTCGTAAGTTGTGGCTCGTCAAGAAATTTGCGTTGCTCTGACGTAAACCATTGCAGAAACTATTTCGGTGGCTTCATGCCAATTCACTATGGGACCTCAACCAGCAGCACCATGGATCCTGAAACTGTAGTCAGAATAATTCTGACAGTTGCAGAACATTCAATGTCTGAATCTTCAGAGTCATCTGAGAGCCCCTTTACAGATGAGTACGATACGTTGAAGAGGATGGGTTGGGAGGATGCACATGCAAAGAAGCCTTGCTGGGCACTTTTGTCTGGCACGTACTACGCCGCAGAAACAGCCGCCTCTAATAGAACGTCAGGGGTAAGAACTGATCCAACCCTACCTGCCCTTCAATCATTAATGCAGTTGCCTAGCACAAAGCTTCATTCCAATTCCCAGGCTCTCCGAAGCCCTACGGGAGCAACCCTATCCTGCTTCACATCGATGGTGTCTCTGATGACGAACTTAGTGATCAACTATTCATTGCCAAACAAGCGGGGTGCATCGGCATTGTTATCGAGCTTGTGGAAACCCAATTCAATGGGAGAGTCTTGGAACCCAGTCTGCTTAGTCGGCTGAGCGCCATGTGTGCGGAGTACCAATTACTGTTAGCAGTGGATGAGACTCTGACTGCCGTACGCTGCGGTGCGCCCTTTTGTTTTCAGCGCGAAGAGTACTTTGATGTTACATCCCCCGACCTCGTCTTCTTTGGTAAGGCTACTGGTTCTCAGGGAATTGCCATTAGCTTTGACGGGCAATTTGTCAAAAGATTTGGGCTCTCACGGAGTCTACGCGGCCAGGCTGTTCGTAAGTGGCAGAACAACTTTCAGAAGCCACTGCCGACTGCAGACCTCATCCAGGCCATGGCCACAATCGATATCGCAGTACAAGGCAACTTTGCGATGCTGAGTAGAATCATTGGACAGGCCATTCGCGACTTTGTCCTTGAACAGGCGGCGGAACGAGGACATGAGGTGACTTCCCCGGACGTCCTTGGAGGGCTAGAGAGCCTAATCTTTGTAAGGAAGGATATTGCTGGAGAGATGTTAGTTATGGGCGCGAAGACGGCTGGTACGTGGATACCTTGGGTTAAGTGGCTCCCCAGGCTTGAGAAAGATATGACGAGAAGCGAGGTTCTCGATGAAGTTATTGGCAGAAGCAGCAGATCGTCTCGTGAGGAGCTGTCAAATATGCTGGTGAAACGAGGATCTAAGCCAACTTGGTGTTTCTGGTGTGGAAACCAAACCACAGCGAAGAATGACGACTGGTGTCAGAGGTGTTGTATTGGCATGTGTGATGGGGACGTGTGTGGGCGTCACTTCTCTCGGCATGATTGTGTTTAAGATCAAGTTACCTCTAGGCAGTCTAGTTACCCAAGATCGCTATGTGCCTCTTTCTTTTGTAAATAATGGAATAAATTGAGAGGGACATTGGTCTCTGGCTAATGGATCTACTTACTTACTTTGTTATGCGCACACTGCTCACCGCAATTTGACTTACATCGATCGACGTACTCTCCATGTTGGCTCAATGTCAACAAAGCTTACAGCTCAAGACCAAACTTGCAATATTTAATAGATCTGCCCATCTCAAATCCCCATTCAATCTGCAGAATCGCCAAAAAGGAACATGATTGATCTAGTCTGGACTTGAACCGGAGATTGAGTTGAATGCGATTGACTTACTTGATCAGTGCCTTGAGTCTAAGTCACGAGCCATTCGGTATATCTAGAATTCTTGAAATACCTATGAGTATAATGTCTTGTTTTAATAGCAGTATATTGCAAGCAACAAGAAAGAGAGCTTGGGATGAAAGGAGGATGAGATGAACATGTTGTCACAAACAGTGGAAAGCTCAAAAGTGTGTTATGTAAGCAGTGCAAACTCCGATCCAACCCCTTTCCGATTAACGAATCGTTCACGATGACGTATGATCTGCCTGAAGGCGTGTCGCATGACCTCGAAGTCGATTGCGGGGTTGAAGCAGCAGACTTGACTACACATAGACGGCGTTCCTGAGCCCATGTAAAGAATCGAAGTACTTTATTCATTATTAAGGTAGCCTGCCATCTCGTTATATTGCATCAAACTCTATTTCGATACCACGATGCCTTTTTCAGACGAGCTTCCCCAGACAAGAACCCCTTTATTGGGTAATAATAGCCAGTCAGAGGCAGCAGCAAGAATAGTGCGTCTTCATAGTCTCTGACATGCCCGCTCGAGGGTAGCGTCATTATCCAGATTGCAATTGAGCTGATAATGACAAAAGCGATCAACTTCACGCAGTGTCAAAGATAAGAGCAGCAAGGCCGTATCATTCATCGTCCACATTTTCCGCGGGGGTCTCTTCTCCCCACCGACCTTGACATATGACCCATTACTCCTGCTGCTGAATCATGACGAACAGGACGAAAGAAACAGGCTCACTGAGAAATGGAAGGACAACAAGCTTCAAGAGCTCAACTTCGTAGGTGTGGTGGTAAGTTGAGTTCTCCTACACAGTCCAATCCACGGCCTTACATATTCCCTGGCTGTTGTGACTTGTTGCCACATAACCTGTGCCGGACTAATACAAAGAAAGTCCGCTCTACTCGCAAATGTCCTCACGTCGACCGGTTCATGGCCGAATCTGCTGCCCCCTGAAACGACCACTCCTTGGCCTGTGCGGACCTGCTGGTTCTGCGGCATCGCTTTCGCCCTTGCCAGCGTGTTGACAGCAGCAGACCAGACCATTCGGCTTCATAGAATGGCCGGGCATAGGGATGGCTTGGTTCTCATCAGGCAGTCCCTGCGCACCCGAGAGCGGGTTTTGATTGGCACTGAGTGGAAGTACCGCCCTCGCAAAATGCAAGTCTACGCCTGGCAGTTGTCAATTTTGTTCTTGGCAGGCGCGGTTCTCTGCATGATCTCAGGGATGATCTTCTTGGTTTGGAGTGCTGTTGCCGAAGATGTTGGCAGAGGAAAGGGTTTCGATGACAACGGCAAGGTAAGCAACATTAGGTTCGTCGTACTTTTTGACGAGACTAACACTTACTAGGTTGCTGTGATATTTACATCATTTGCACTGATCACAGCCGTCATCTTCGGACTGGGCCAAACAACGCTGTACTACCCGGTTCCAAAAGGAGGCGACATTGATGATTGAAGATAGTGACTGAAGTTCTAAAGAGCTCTTGCTCTCAAACCTTACTAAAGGGCACTTGACTTGGAACAGAAGCAAGTGGATTAATATTCTCTAAGGTCGAACCATAGAGCATCGCGATGGCCGAGACTAGAAACTCTACAACAGGTTTCAGGGAGTAAGGTCATGATCAAAATTCTTTTTCACAATTGCTCCCAAATCATGTTTAGACGCCGCTAGCTGAGCGTAAGATGTTGGTTATGGTACCATCTATGTCAAGGTTCCAAGTGAATCTGTTAATGTGCCCTTCATGCTCAACTCAAACGGCAGTTTCCTTTGCTTTCTGGCCTGCAACAGAGTGATAGAACACATACGAGTGAATACCGGTATTGAGTAGATCCTTTCGTACATCAATCAGGAAAATCTCGACCTCAGGGGCAGACCAACCCAGACCTCGGGTGAGCGGACCCATTGTGACTCCATGTATGCCGTCGTAGAGAACAGCTTTGCAGTAGGCTCCAATCATCTTCAGATCTTCTCTCTTTGGCCACTCGCCCACGGGAACCTTTTGAACATCTTGAACTTGATTGATAAAGCCCGCGTCATCAAGACGTTTGGGGTTGATGTCGGCGACATCTGCTTCGATGCCAAACTTTCCAAGGCCTTCCCAAACAAGCTTCATCATTTTGGTAAGGGCATAGTCCGAGGGCATTGTGTCATCGTCGCAATTGAAGTTCCACTTCATCTCCTGGAGTTCAATCCAGCCTCCCGGCTTCAAGACGCTGAACAACGTCAGATGATATTAGAATGAAGTTTTGATAATGATTTAACGTACCGGAAAGCTTGCGCAAGGAGCTTCTCCCAGTCTTTGATCGCCGCTCCCATGTTTCGCACGTGAACGTAATCAAGAGAGTCTTCTGGGTACAACCATTCGGCTTCAGCATCGTCAACGATGAAAGCAACATTGGCTGGGACGTATGGAGGTTGAATAGGGCTGAGATCGATGCCAGTGACCTCAGCTTCCGGATATTCGTCACCCACTGTGAAGATTAGTCCCTTTCTTCGTCATTTCCGGTCCGTGAGATTAAATGACACAACTCACTGTCAATTGCCCAGATGCCAGTCCCGGTTCCAACATCTAGGATCTGCTGAGGATTCTCGAGTGGCGCACTGTGCAGTGCCCCGCCACAAAGGGTAACCACCATAGAGTGCTTCATATCCTCCCTTTCTTGTTCAGCATCATCGTTAGGAAATGCATAGCGGCCTTCCTTGAACTTGTGATATCTCCTTTTGTTTTCAAAGTTGAAGTCACGAATTGTGGATGCCAGCGTAGTTGATGCGTTGGATTCTCTTTCAGATGCTGATTGGTAACCGTCACTATCATCATCATCGGTCCCGTCTTGGGCCTCGACAACAGCATCCGGCGACTGAGAAGCCGTTTCCAGTGGCGCTTCTACGGGTGCAGTCCCAGGAGATTGGCCAGATGTCGGCGACAAAAGCGTTGAGGCAGCAGCCTGGGGCGACTGACCGGCGGTGGCTGCTGTAATCGTTGGAGATGCTGCCTCAGCCGCTCGCGCAGAGGATCTTTGGGGAGAGCTTGAGACAGCCCTTTGCTCAGCCATTGTATTTTGCAAGTCAATATGTGGCCGAATAAAGTTGTTTTTTGGAAAGACTCTGCGAAGTAATTGACAAGAGCTGAGATCTTAGGACGAAGAATATGAGGACAAGAGAGGACAGCACGAGGAGGGAACAACCCAAGGCGTGTTGTCGAGCGTATTGTTTCCCCGCTCGGACTTGGCGAGATACTCAGACGCAGACGGCCTGCCGGGGTTCGAATCCTGATCCGCCATATCTCCGGGCTAACATCGAATCACATCTAAGATCTTTGCATAACATGTTTGCTCGTTCGACTGGGCGTCTGCAAGATAAACAAGGAATGATGCGGGGGTTGTGTGCTTTCAATCGTGTATCATCCTTCCGAGATCGCAGAGAATACAAAGATAACTAATATCTGTTACTTTCGAGTTCGAAATTTGCGACCCTTGGTATATAATGATGGGCCTCCGATCGAGGTGCCATAGCAAACGACCGAACGGTCATGTACAAGACACCAGCGCTGAGCGCGCCAATACTCGGCGGGGATTCATCGCCACTGCCAGAGACTGAGGCCCGTAAAACCATTCTGAGACGTTTTCATTGGCAATTTGAGAAATCTAAGCGTATTCCAGTCGTCTGACACAGTGTGGTTAGTAAAAGAAGGAGAGCCGTGGTACTCCATGTGTCGGAGCAAGTGACCGGCCCCCCGATGGTCAAGTCCGAACTGGGCGATCGGAAATGTAAGGCTCTGCGCAAGAGCAGTCAACTTTTGCGGGTCCAACAAACCAACAGCTACCTTCCTTTCAGTGATTGCATATTACTAACAAGATTGTAAGTAATCGAAAACCAGATGATGAAAAAGGGTTCAGTAACGATGCATGTACCATCAACATGGCCATCACCAACGGATTAATTCAACAATACTATTTTATTGAGACGTCGCTATGGTGCGGGAATGAGATTGATGACCTTTTCCCACCATGGACGTACTATATCTGTGGCGAGTATTGAATGCAATCTTCAATGGCCGCAGTGAAACCCTCTGAGTTCAACCAGGCCTGCTAATTACCGACTATTATAAGTGCATTGGGTACACTCAACTACTCCATTAAACCCACCTCTCGCGTCTGTCATGTAGATAGCTCGTCTACAGATAAATATAGCAGAATGGACTGCCTCCAAGCGTGTTAAGCAAGTCACTAATAGGCCTGTTTAGTGCGTTCGGTTCCTGGATTACGAGATCGTCAAGACGAGCGTCGCGACTGGGGGGCGTGTTTAGAATAGTGATTGTTCCAGCAATGTTAAACGCCTCCCCGAGATGAAGCGCCTGCCACAACCAATAGACGCGGTCGACCATGGCGTGGTGCAGAAAGAAAGTCGGATCATTGGTGGATGAGAATAGGTCGGAAGCTTCACCGTTGACAATGAAGTGCCCGGAAGTGTGCGTACCTGCTCACTGTCAGATACTCTGCTTGCTTGAAGTGGGTCGACGAAAGCTTACCCAAAAATCCATCACCAAAGCGGCCCTGGAGCTCGTTTTGGAACGTCAAAACGTTTTCTGCCGCAGCGCCCACAGTGAGGTTCAGCACATTCTCAGGAGTCATCCAATGCTGGGATGTCCAAGCGCTGATGTCTCTCGAGAGACAACGAGGATTATAGGCCAGAGGGCCACCGGGGTTGACTGCCAGACCATCGATACCAGGGCTGACAGGGCCAAGATGAAGAGTCATGCTTGAGCAAGTAGTCAGTCTTATGTTCTTCTCTTTTGGTCGGAAAGGAGGCTCACTTGGCAAAAGGGCCGCTTGTGATACAACCACCCCCCTCCCCAGAGGGGATATAAACACCGCCGCCGGACGTGCTGCCGTTGTGATATTTGTAGGCACCATTGCCACTCATGCTAGTCTCGCTGCCATCGAACATGGGCGCCTTGGAAGGATCCTCTCGGTAGGAAAGCCAGTTCCAGTACTAGCACACACACCGTTAGTCACGGTAATCCCGATTGTCGTTCAACGCCATCTAAAGTACTCACCGGTTGATAACCATTGTAACCACATTCCTGCCTCAAAGCATTCTCGTAGGCCCATGTAAAGTAACGATGCCACGTGAGGAAGTTACCGGTCCCGTGGATACTCAAGGTCTGGTTGATATGGACAGCAACGAAGTCGTCATATCGGCTGCGAGCACCGGGGGCGAAATCCGTAAGCTTGGAAGGCTTCGTCAATAGGCAGTTGACGGCACTGGTGTAAGCCTTCTTTTCGGATCCGGAAAGCGAGTTCCTGTTGATGTGATCAGTGAATGGACCTTGGTTCCAGTCGGGCAATCACGTACCAGTCCCGTCGAACACACGCGTTGAAGAGTGTGCACGAGTTCCTCTTGCCAAAAGTGCCTTTGCCCTCGGCCGCTTGAAGAGCTTCGATAGCCTGAGCCTGGACCTCCGACAACTCGTCGCCTTCAGAGGCGAGAGCAGTCGCTCCGTAGAGAATCAGCGCCGCCAAGACATTGAAGACACGCATTGCGATGTGGTCGGCGGTTTTCCTGGCGCAGGGTGAGCTGGGATGCGAAGTTTCGTGGGCTTGAGAGTACTAGGAAGTCGGAGAGAAAAGGGAACCGCGATGACTACTCTGTACCGTGGTAATTATTATTTATCTTCAATTTCAGTGCCGACGGGTAACCTTTTGTTATCCATGTCAAAATAGCGCCGGCGCGGTGGGATGATAACGGCACGCTTCCGAGAAGTTCTAAAGAGGCACATCGGCCGGGAGGCGAACAAGTTGACAGGCTTGATGCCCAGGCGGTATTGATTAAGTGGTGGATGCGTTGACTCCAACGTGAAGAAGCGTCTTTAACCCTGACCATGTCCGCATGGTGGATAAATTGTTGGTTGGCTGTCGTGGCCCTTTCCCGAGGTCGTGACATGCTGAACCTCAAATGAGCCAGCATGGATCGAACTAGAACCCCAGACATGCTGGTAACAGCGTTGCATTGCTAGTCAGCGCTAATGATAGCAGGTAAGCGACAGTGTGGACTAACTCATAATAGAATCGGCTGAATCATGAACGGCCCCTCCACCCTCGAGTCTTCCCCTTCTCAAATGACCATTTACAGCGTCGAATTTTCAAATGTCAATTGTTAAAGATTATGCCAAGATTATTGCCGTGCGTTTCTGCTCCGGCACTTCGGGTTTTCGATTAGGGTCCCGGCAACGGAACCGGCTCGGACAAGTTTCTGCTTCGGGTTTATACGATGACCCAACGACCTTGGCATCCCACCACGCTGCGTTCCACCCTTGTCCATCTCATGCCGGAACCATGGCTAGTCTCGCCGTTTCAGAGCCGATTTAACCGACATTTTCGGAAATGTAAAATGTAAATGGAGTTAGCGGAGAGTCAAAGTCTATCAAATACCTTATTTGAGTAAGCGAGTTCCCTTGAGTGAATGCTGCCTACTTTATTTTGTTATTTCTTAGTCACAAGCAGAGAATAGGGAGCATCTGCATTGCGTTACCAACCATTAAGTGGCCGCAAATGTGATTCTACTTAAAACTTCATTTTAAGTCGGCCATTCGGCAGTGTCCTTGTACGTTCAGCAGCTTGCCGCTAAAATAGTTTTCCTCGCCTATCCAGGATCTCACGCCACTTTTTCAAAAAACAAAGAGATATTCTCAAATACTACATAACCTATAGTAACTTAGTCCCTACATGTAGTCGATATTCTTCTTGTCATACTCATCTCTATGTATCATTGCAGCGTGCAGCCGTCTGGCGTTAAACTCTCCGCCTCTCTGCCTTTTTTGTTTGGAATCTGCAAGTTTCATTGTATTCCCTGGTTTTATGACCTTTGATCAATATGGCATCTTGTAACACGATGCCAGGCATATATTTGTGATGGAGATCGTCCTTGCGAGTTGCCCAAGATTCGGAAAGTTTCTACGTAGGTGTCTGGCGTCTAGCGTCCGGGGTAGCTCAAGGCGAGACACTTCAGGTGGAATTAGAGATTCACGTGAATACTATGGGATGATGATGAAACAATGGATCCAGGTGCTCGCGGAAGTCAAAGACATGCAGTGGAAAGTGGATTGAAACCTGCAGAATAAGAACATGAATGAATTCATACTCAGGCGTGTTTCGTGGCTTTTACACGCTTTTGTCGTGCTTTATTATACTTAGGTATCAATGTATTGTACTTATAATGACTCCAACCACTTAGTCATCCCCGTTTGGTCCTCATTTCCCTTTCAATGCGCGAATTCCATTCATCCGCGCATACATCACACCCAAGATATTGCACATTTGCTCCCAGATTATCAGGCCATCAACTTCTTCTTATGGTACATTCTCAGGAATGCTGTGCTGAATAAGTCAAAGGAACATCTGAAGGTGTCTGCTTGGCGATGTCGTTTGCGATTTGCGAAATGATGGCTGAGGTGATGGGGGTATCGCTCGGAACCCAACCGATCAGTACAGGTAATCTCTCGTTTCCTATTCAATCTTAGCACTTGAAAGACGAATGAATCCTTCCATAGTTGAGGGTATAAATAAGTCTTACGGAAAAAGTATTCGAGAAACGCTCTGTTGGCTACCGGCTTGCTCGGAGAGCCCCATAGAGCTAACATTAAGGATGCTTCGCCTAAGAACAAAGGGACGGAGGATTCGGGAAGAGTAAATGTTGGGTTGATACGACTCATAGCTAGAGCGTGCCTTGCACGGGCATTGGCCATGTCGGCTGTGCTTATCGTTGTTGCATCGCCGAAGTAGGCAACGAAAGCGTCGAAAGTTGGCTTGTCGAATCGATTCGACGGGTCAAAGTACATGTCTCGACGTGATAGGCTGCCATCGTGTTCGATTACGTTGTGCCTGTTCAGCATATCTAGGTCGATAAACTGAATAATGCGTGAAGTTGATCAGTACAGATTTGAAAAATACCTGATAATACAGATACGGGTATATCGCCTCACATTTGCGTTGAGTATTGAGTTCAACTTCAGTGCTGGCGTGAATGCCGCCGTAGCTAGGTCTTCTCCAATGTT